GAGGTAAAATATCAATATTAGAATCTACTTTTATCCCAACGTCTTCTATGAACTTGAAAATATCTCTGTTAATATCACGAACTTCATGCTCCCCACTAACATCATCAATACCCTCATTAGATTGACACTCTTGTATAATATCACTTAAATAATAATGTTTACAAATAATAGCGACGTTCTTAGTTGCTTTGTCCACCGGACATAAAACAAAATACTTTCTGATAAACGCTAATTCTTCACAAGCTTTATCATTACTAAACACAGATTTCCGTTTAAGCTGTTTAGGATATTTCATTTTAAGAGCTTCAGTATTCTTCTTAACAATATCACTAAATTCATTAAACCAACCATTTAAACATGCACTATCGATTTTCTCTTTCCTACTCCAAGGTTTTAAGATTTCTTTAACATTATCTATTACCGAATTACAATTCTTATCAAAATCAATCGTTTTAGGTTCTTTATAAGAAGGACCTTTCTCTAACAGACTTCTCAAGGCGTCGTGCTTTACAAAATTAACATCCCCAGTCACAACATGACCACAATCCTGATTTACGAAATCAGTAAACATATGACATTTGCATTCTAAAGGTTCAGTGTCTCCCTTAACAACGTTATTATAATTAAATAACTTCTTAGAAACATTATCAGTACCTTTATATACAACAGTAGGTTCTTTAATGTTACAAAAATTAACAAACGATTTCAAACTAGGAGATCTAAAAACTCTAGGTAAATTTAACATTTCAATACCCTTGTTCACAAAATCAATAGAACATAAAACTTTAGGCTTACGGACGCTCTTACTTTTATCAGTTCTCGAGTTAAAAGGTCTAATTTTATAAGTGAATAAGTCCATTATAATACAATGTATCTGAGATCTACTAGGGTCTAGGTTATCAATTTGAAAAACTTTATCTAAATAGCTCTCTTTAAGTTTAACGAGTGTAGACTTATTTAAAGGAAACAATAATTTACGTAATAAAATATTAACATCGCTGTGAAATGGTTCAACAACTAAACGTAATAATTCACCCAAAATATTGTCAATATCAAACTGAGATAAATCGCTTTGCTGTCTATCAGCCCAGGATCTCTTTCTAGATTTATCTTTACAAGAAATAAATTTAGCATATTCACAATTATAACTATCTTTATTAGCTAAACTATCAATCCTATCATTAACCCCATAAGGAAATTGTGTTTTAAGTACTCTGATCCAACGATCTTCATGTCCTTTCCTAATTTTAGAAATATTTTCATCAATAACAAATTTAGTAGAATTAGGACGCTTAACACCAGTTCTCCCCTTACCTGTAAGTTTCTGAATAATTTGAACACTAAACGAATTACAATTAATAGATTCTAAAAAATGCTGTCTCAATCTAAAATTTCCCGAATTTCCAGTAGGATTCGTAGTCCCACGGTGTTGCGACATACGATCCTTAAGTTCTTGCACAGTCTCTCCTACATATTGAGAATTACAACATTTACAGCTCAAAAGATAAATAACATTAGTACTTTTACAATTAATAACTTTCTCTTCTCCAACATCAAACTCAAATATACAGTCAAATTTAGTCCCAGATACAGATGACCTAAAGTCCGTACAAAACACCATATCAGCACAGGTTTTACAGCGACGAGAGCAGCGAAGGAAGGACACATCCTGTGACTTAGAAGAAGCAGCAGCAGCAGTAGTAACCATAGACATCAAAACCATCAGAACCAAACCAAAAGACAGGAAGAGAAGCCAGACAACAATGAACCATCCAAATTAACAAACAAATACCAGTCTCCAGAGTTATCCCTTGGCCAGAGAAATCTCTTAAGCACAAGTTCCAACTCCGATGCTTATAAAGCAATGAAAGGCATTAGTTTGGTCAAATCAAACGGAACATATGCTATCAGACTTTCAACTGACTATGGCAGGGTTAAAACAGTTTTAACGCTAGCAACGATCCCCTTTTACATAGTTCCACTAAAATGATAATTTAAGATTAAATATGTATACTGTATAGTGATAGGTAGATAAAGTAAAAATGTAATAAAACGGTAGGGATAAGTATACTAAGTAAACGTAGTCAACACGTCATACAACGAACTGACCAAACTACAATTACTCCCGCGTAATTTCCCGCGTAATTCTAAGACTCTGATTTGCGCCGCCGCAAAGTTATTATAAAACTAAATTCAACACGTGCGACAAATATTGCGCAACAATAGAAAAGGATGCCACAGGCCAAGCTATGGCATTAATATATTTCCACACCCAATACCAAACTTATTCTTTAGCCCATGCCTCTTTACCACTGATAAGTATATTTTACTAAGACGATCCCGTCTAAAACCCAACTCAATTAAATCATCAGTAAACTTCAAAACCCTATCAGAAAAAGCAACAACGTTATTACAAATCCTAGAATATCTCACAACCTGTGAACAGTACGTGCCATATAATACACTACTAGCTTGATTACTCATCAAAGGTTGAAACTTGACCACTTTAAAACCAAACTTATCCCTTTTATCATAAACTCTACAAGAAAACTTCCCCTCGCTATTTATCGAAATATCAAGATCTAATACATTGGCGGCACTATCTACTTCATTTTCCTTATTAAGAGTAAGAGAGTCTGGATATATTAACTTAAAATATTCCTCTAAGTAACCATCAGAGTTAAGGGTAGTAATATCATCTATAAGTCTAAATGTATTATTTAACTTCTTTACAATATAGTATCTACTTTTATACGTACTGTCTAGGAAACTGTTCTCAAAATACCAAAGTGTTAAGTTAGCAATATATGGACCAGGGTTGATTCCAATAGGTACACCGATATGTTGCCGATATAAGATCTCTCCTACTTTAAAGTAACAATTATCCAGTAGAAACTCAACACATTTAATCAACTTAACTTCATCAAAAGCCACAGTCCCATCTCTAAAGCTATTAACCCAAGCAGACCCTTTATCGCGCGTTTATCGCATGCGAGACGATTATCGTTTGTGGTGCACGATTATCGTACGATTATCGCGGTACTTGACGATAAACGCGTGATTATCGCAGGATCGTTTTTTTATCGCACGATAATTGTGATGTCGTACTGTAGCTGTCATCGCACGATAATTGTTATGTCGCACTGATATCGCACGATAATCGAAAACACATGACAATAACCCCTTTAGTACAGGTAATGTGATATAATAACATGGTATGAATTCTAATCTCTTTACATTATAACGTTGGTGCGTGTGACGTGGTTGTTCATACTTTATGATGACAGGAATCTACTGATCACTGTAATGTGGACACAATAATTGGCGCACCTAATGTTTACTGTTACCCGGTCATTCCTATGGATCATTTTTCTTCTCTGGTGTTCTCAAACACGCTGCATGCACCATAAAATGGTTGAAATTGACACACTAATTGGTTATGATCATATTGAATATCGTTATCATGGTTTACCCACACGGAGAACAGCTAGGAGTAGGACAGATGCAGGCATTCCGATCTATTACATATTGTCATATTGTTTTCATAACTTCTGTTGTTTTGGTCGTATTTTATCTGGGAAAACAGTCCCATTGCATTTCATGAGCATGGGGAATCCGGAATTCATTCCTGCAACATTAACAAGCATCGTGGAGTTCCTACAATGATTAAAATATGTTGCGGTGGCGTATAAAAATTAAAGACTTTCTCGCGCGCACAAATATCATGTTGCCAAACAATAATTAGACCAGCGCATTCCGTTAATTAGTGGCAAATTTCAATTTTGAAGTCGAATTTGGTGAACAACCATTGTGACGTCACAATCTCCGTTGGTGCATGTGGTTATCCATACTTTATGGTGACAGCAATATGCAGACGTACATCTTATCAGTTATATATAGAGGGTGGCCCAAAATTAACTACCCTTAAATAACTCACGTAATTGGCATCAGAATTGCTTAAACATTTCAGATAATATAGATATGGGTAAAACTTAAATTTCCTGAAAGTCTCGTAAAATTTCATTTTCTCTTTTGTCGCCATAAAGTGAGAACGTTTTGAGTTAGGAACTCCAAAAATTTCCAGACAGATGTGGTTTGATAATTGAAGTGTTTTCCAAAATTTCAAGATGGTTGTTAACAACTAAACTGAGTTATGACCATTTTAAGATATGGCGAATACATGATCTCGGCACTTAATCTGTGATTTCTTCACTTAATCAATGGTCTGATTGGTTAGAACCTGCTCATAGGACAGCAACCGAAGCGCTATAACGAGAATTTCTTTGATTTTAAGGTATTCACTCAAAGTGATCAGATTGTCATCCCCCAACATGCTCGGTACTGCCTAATGAGGCTCATTATTGCCTGCTACTGAATAGCTCCTAATGAGATCACTGATTGGGTGACGAAATCACATATTAAGTGCCGAGATAACGTATTCGAAGCTGTAAACAATCAACTTGAAATTTTGAGAAAGCTCTTCTATTCTAAACCACATGTGCCTGGAAATTTTGGAGTTCCTAACTCAAAACGTTCTCACTTTATGGTAACAAAAGAGAAAAAGAGGGAGTGGTGTAATTGATGAAATTTTACGAAAATTTCAGGAAATTTAAGTTTGACCCATATCTATATTCTCTGAAATTTTTAAGCAATTCGGATGCCAATTACGTGAGTTAGTTATTTAAGGGTTTTGTGCGGGTAGTTAATATAATATTGGATATATATCCGGATATTATCTAACTATCAGAATTTCAATCATGAGACTAATAAACAGCGAACTACTCTATCATTTGATATATTAGGGTGTTTAATTAAAATAGACACGCGTAGAAATATGTTATTATTAATTGTAGCTTTTAACCGAGTATGTACCTATTATAGTTATATCTACATTTACTGGCAGGAACGACTTTACCGTGTGCAATGATCATGATCATATCATTATCATGATTTTGTAAACTGTTCTTACACTATAATCATGTTAATGTTATTCTCTTCAGAACGCACTGAGGGCGTCAGTTGAAAATCCGTTCACCGGAGAAAAGCACCCAGTTCAAATTTGCATAGTTCAAGGGAAAAAAGACATCAGTATTAAAGTGTCTGATAGAGGCCGAGGAATTCCTATGTCTGAGCAGGACCAACTATTCGACTACCATTACTCAACAGCCCCAGAGGTTAGTTGTAGGTTGAATATGGAGATAATGTGTTAACAAGTTCCTACTTCCCACAGTTCTATATTATTATCTTGACTTTTGAGTTTTTTGTTGTATTTTAGCTTAGAATAGGTAGGTAGTTCTGAAGAGCTCACTGTTTTTTATTTGTAGCCAGAGAAAGACTCGAGAATACCGCCCTTGGCCGGCTTTGGGTACGGATTACCCCTTTCTCGGCTGTATGCCCGGTACCTGAACGGTAACATTCGGTTAGTGAGTGTGGAGGGATACGGGACTGATGCTGTTATTTATCTACAGGTTAATTATGTGGACATTAATTTTATTGTGTGTTATGTATGTATAATTATATAATGTTCTTTTATGCAGTTCAATGATACATCAGGGTATATAATTGAGATAAATTAAATATGGTAGTATTTGTACAATTATACAATATACATAAATAAAGTTACAGGATGGTCTAGAAACCAAGAAAATACACGTCAGACTCATCAACCATACTGTGACACATTTCTATTCCTTAGAATTTATCGGAGAATGCCAGCGAAGTTCTGCCTCTGTTCAACAAGACGAGTCAGGCGAAGTATCAGATTGGAACCATGGTTCAAGACTGGAATGTCGCCGGCAAATCACGACCAATCTGGTCATAGACGTAAAACCCTCGACTGTAGCAAGACCATCGCTAAAAATACCTTCTCCCTTCTCAACGAACTGAAAGTTTGCTAAAATAACTATTACTGCACGATAGGAACCAGATTTTGTTGATTTTATTTCTGCTATCCACCAAAAACCGACAGAAAGATCCTATCTGAAAACATAGCTAGAGGGTACAATGGGCTGATTGGCATCTGATGTGGCTCTTATTATCACTGTTTATATTAAAGCTTAGCTCTGAAAACTAAAGTTGGTTATATGTTCTGGTCCTTTCAATGAAAATATGAACAAAGTTTGATCAACATTAGCCTGGGTAAAAATTTCTTTACATTTTTAATATCCAGGAAACCACAGTCACCAACATGCAGCCAACTTCAACCAATGATAATAACGACTGAAGTTCAGTGAAGTTGGCTTTATGTTGGTGTCAGTAAAATGTAGTCCGTACGTTTATTAATACCTGTTTAAATATGGTTGTAAGTTATTCTGCCACTTCCAGGCCTACTCCACAGAATTAATCTGTTTGGTCGATATCTTGATCCTTAGTACGATCCTTAGTATCCTTACGAATCCTTAGTACGATTTTAGAATTTAGATTCCGTGATTTTTAGTATAGCAATGCAAAGAAAATTTTGGTGCATTAGCAAGTTTTACATCAAAATTAGTTCCGTTCATGCAAAATTAACTTTCTTACTTTATAATGATTTAACTGAAACACTTTGATCGTTCCATGTTAAAATATATTACAAAATTAACTTTGATTAAAGGATTGCGAAAATCCTGTATGATTCATTCTCGATTTTAGATACTGGACAGTTTATTACAAACGTAGGTTCGATTTGTGTGTAAATTATTTTAATTTAGCATGACTATTATCAGAGATTTTTCAATTACGTTTTGTGACTTTTTAAGCTGACCAAAGGTAAAAAACTGTGATGTCAAGACCACTTCTGCAATATGTTGTGCTAAAATCTTACACAAGATGGAACCAATATAACAAGAAACGAATTTTTGAGGTTATTGATTGGAAACGTTTTCACGAAGCTTGTTGAAAGTTGTCATTGGGAAATGGTATGGCAACAAGTGCATATTCTCATAATCATTGTAAACTGATTCCCAGTTAATTACTAGTTTTGAAAATTGTTGCTATGTAGGTGACATGTTCGTCTCTTTAAAGTTAAAACAATTAAACAAGTGTAGGGTCATATTATATTATAAAAATAAAACAAAGTTTTTTTTCAAGCATATTCCGTTTTTTAATTTCCTTTGTGTTTTGGCGTATGATCAATTCTGTTTATCTGTAGTTCATTTCACAAATCGAGCCAATTTCAGGAGATTTGTTATAAAACGATTCTTAGATTGTAATTTATAGATTTTAGACAAGAATGATAATCAAATTTATCGATATTGATTTATCACACCAACATCTTTGATTTTCATAGACCTATGTTTGTAAAATATTTTAGCGTTCAGGAAATCTCCCTCCGTAATCTGAACCAGAAATAAAGGTCCAAATGAATATGGGTCGAACAGTTTTCACATATTACGTCAGCAAGATTTCAAATTCTCTTTACTTCCCCATATTAGCAAGATTGCACATTGCTATATAATGTAAAAATCACATAAGAGCCAGCATTTCGCTAATGTAGACCCCCCCCCCCCCCCCCATACCTGAAATAATGGCGTAATATTTGAACGGTCCCTTCATGGGATTTATGTACTATTGGCTTTAGATACAATTCAGCTCTGTAATTTTTTAAATTTAACATTTTTATGTTATCGATTTGTTTTATTTTTCGTTAAGTGCGGATATCAATCTCTTGATTAAGCTCTGACAACTAAAAATCTGTAGAAATCGATCATATTTCCTGTTAGATCATATAGGCTCAAAACTAAATGAGCAGGATATTTAGCTCACCAACTAAAGAATTTTTTGAAGGGGTTTCCAGACTATTAGTGAAAGATTCTAATTTGTAAGGCCATTAGCTCAGTTTCGTACACACATGGCACATGCTGGATCCTAAATTCTATAATTGTATATTTTACAGCTTCGTGCGTACCGTCGTTTTTTGTTCGCGCCTTACAAATTTCGCCAAAACTTTTAAAGATGTGACCAAATGTGGCATTTTAACTTTCTTGACGCGATGAATTGATGGTGACATTTGTATTTTCGACTCCTAGTTGAAGATATGAAAGAAGGCACAATTTTAGAGTTTGGGCTCAATAACACCCATTTATTACCAATACCGTACCCTTGTTAAATTGCATACAATTTTACAAAATTATCTAATAAGCCGATCACCAAATAGCTTGCGACAAATTGCCCAAGAAAAAAGTGCTCCTCTCATGGCGATGACGGATAATATTGGTCATCGCCTGGAAAATATTTTCCAGTTCTAACATCACACTCTTACTGATCAATACAAATTTAGAACATTTTCATTTCCAAACAAATTTGTAACCCGGTCGAGGTTAAGAAATATCAAATAACGGAGTAGTTCGCTGTTTATTAGTCTCATGATTGAAATACTGATATCTGGATATTATCCGGTTTGAAGAGACAAGGACAAGTGAAACAAGGAAGTTAGGAGTAAGGGCAAATTTTCGGCGTCAACGCCATCTTCAGGCTCAAATTATTTGTTATATGATTGATTGATTGATTGAGGAGCACTACCCAGAGGCATTACTCGGCACTAACGCCTTAAAATCTTTAATTACAATCAAATATAAATATATGCACACAATGTATAAAATATGAATAATGTATAAAATATGATTACGCTATTAGCAAATTTGAATAGTACTACTATTAAGAATTTCTAAATAACTCTTATCTCTTGACATAAATTTAGAACAGCGACACAGGGTCTGAAGAATGCGCGGTGATATTTTTGTTTTGTAAATGACAGTGAAATTGCGCGGTAGCGATAGCATTGTAGAAAATGCTCGAAGATAGTCATATTTCGTTATGAGGTTAAAGTTTTGTTGCTCGTTATTATCAACGTATGTTGTACCAAATTATTTAAATTTCTAAAAGTACGAAATTTGAGTTGTTCCAGTCCTTGTCATCCGGGTTAAGTGCTTGTGCAGTAAGCACATGCTTGCTGACTGTAGACTTGAATGAATTTAGGAATTTGTCTTGTAGGCAAGTCGTGACATATTTTATGTCCTTGTTAATAATGTTGACTGTTTTGTTATATAACTTAGGCCCAATGTAAGAAATGCTCTTGTCTGAATTACATAAACGGTTAAATGGTACTGCAAAGAACTCAGGTTCTCTTCTAGGTGCGTTTAAGTTTGAAACAGTGAACATTCTTTTAATATTTGGTGGTGCAGTGTTAGAATAAACTTTGTGCATTAAGCATAATATACATTTAGCTATCACGTTCGGTAAAGCTAATACTTCTAGTTTATTAAAAATTTCCTTTGTGTGTGAAGGTGTACTGTTCAGATCTTTGTCATAAAAATAGCGGTGGTATTGGTTATCTGCAGCGCGAATGCCCTTTTTCTGGGCCGAGAAGACTCTTTTAACGGAGTTTAGCGATCTTGTTCCCCAAACTGTGCAGCAGTAGTACAAGTGAGACTGAACAAAGCTGTTGTATATCAACTTGAGTGCTTTGTTAGGTACAGAGCCTTTGAGTTTGTAGAGTATGCCCGCATTTCTAGATACTTTAGTGGCTAAATGTCTAATGTGGTGGGCCCAATTTAGCTTGGTATCAATGATCACGCCAAGAAACCTTTCGTGATCACTTTGCTTTAATCGTTCACCTCCCATGTAAATTTCTATATCCTCAGTTTTCTTATTTGTAAAGATCATATATTTAGTTTTGCTAGCATTTAATTTAAGCCCGTTATTAGTAGCCCAATCAATTATCAAAGTCAGAATCTCATTCACCATTGCATTAAGTTGTTCAAATGTATCTGTACTTATTATTAGGTTTGCGTCGTCAGCGAAATAAATATGTTTAGCTAAATTACTAATCTGAGGAAGGTCGTTGATGTAAATTATGAACAGAATTGGTCCGAGAATGGAGCCCTGTGGTACTCCGTAGTTAAGTTTGAGGTGAGAGGACTTGCAGTTGTTGACGCTCACGTATTGCTCTCTATCGGTAAGATATGAGTGAAACCAAGATAAAGCCAATCCCCGAACTCCATAGTGCTCAAGTTTTCTCAGAAGAATACTGCTGTCAACCATGTCGAAGGCCTTGCTGTAGTCCAATAGAAGCAGTGCTGTGACCTGCTTTTTTTCTAGTGCCCTGTGGATATGGTTTTGGGCTTCTAGTAAAGCATGTTCACAGCTATGTCCAGCTCGAAATCCGTATTGAGAGTCAAATAGGATTTTCTCTGTCTTTAAGTGATCTAATAGTCGCGCTTGCATAATTTTTTCAAAGATTTTTGAGAAACACGAAAGTAGTGAGATTGGTCGATAGTTTGAAACTTCAGCACGTGACCCACCTTTGTGAAGTGGAATTACTTTCGCGATTTTCAATTTATGTGGAAACTTCCCCTGATGTAGAGAAGCAGAGACTAGGCAGCTAAGCACTGGCGCAAGTATATTGCTCACTTTTTTCAGGGGAAGTATACTCATATCAGAAGTCGACTTAATCTTCAGACCCTTAACTATTTCAATTATTTCTGATGCGGACGAGTCTTCGAGATTCATGCTCCGCTGGCATTTGCTATCTTGAGTTTCTGTTACGATAGTCCGGCCCTCGGAGCATACGAGACCATTTTCTCTCTTAAGAGTCTCAGCTATATTGCAGAAATAGTCATTGAAGCTATTCGCAATTTGCTGAGAATCTGTTATCTCGCTCCCATTATAGTTAATTTTGTTTATCTTGATTTTGCCTTTTTTCTTTCTGTTTAACAAGTTATTAACCATTTGCCATTGTTTTCTGCTGTCGCTAGAATATTTTGTAAAGTATGCGTTGTAATATTTGTTTTTGGCCTTATCCACGTGTTTATTCACAAATTTCTTCATTTTCTTGTACCTAATATCATTTTCAGTGGTCGGGTTTGTGACAAAATCTTCATAAAATTTATTTTTGCGATCACATGCGCACCGTAACCATTCTTGGATCCACGGCTTTGTGTTTTTACGGCGGCCTGGTTTACTCTTTTTTGCCTTCATTGGGAAATTTCGGTCGTATAGTTCACTATATTTTTTCTCGAAAGCCTCAAATTTTTCATCTGCAGAATCATAGTTATTAACCAAGTTCCAGTCTACGGCAGAAATGTCGTTCTCGAACTTTTTGATGCTGTCATCGTTTATTACTCGAGAAGATGTTTCTGTTGTATCTTCTTGAAGTTTACAACTGAGCCTATTCTGATCAACCATAATTGTGACAAAAGTTGCCAAGTGGTCAGAGATTGATTCAGAAATTACTCCCGATTTTGTAACAGCGTGGCAATTATTGACGAAAATATGGTCAATGATAGTCGCACTGTGATCTGTGACTCTAGTTGGTCTTGATATCACAGGAGCGAATCCGTGCTCTGCTAAAGTGTCCACATACTTAGTAACAGAGTCTATTCTCCCGTAATCTAGTAGGTCTATGTTAGTATCACCGGCCAGTATGATATTTTTGTTTCGATGTCTTGCTAAGTTACGGAGGAAAATTTTCAATTGTTCAAGGAAACCATTCAAGTCCCCACTTGGAGAGCGATATATATTACAGATTAACGCGTTTTTGTGCCCTTTCAAGGTAAGTTCTGCAACCAAGAATTCTCCTATCTTAGGATTATCGTGGCAACATAGAGCGCTCTTAACGTTTATGTCAGATAATTCACATAGTTTTTTGTTAACATATATGACTAATCCTCCACCACGATTTGACGCTCTAGCGGGAGTCTGAACATACGGTGGATAGAAACCGTCTAGTTCGAGCTCCTCTCCCTGAAAAGGCAAACATTCCGTGTTACAATTTGTTTCATTGAAGCAGAGAACGTCGTATTTTGTGTATTGATCTATATTCTCCCGAAATTCTTCAATTTTCCCATTAAGTGACCTAACGTTTAGCGAGAAAACTTTCAATTCATACTCCTTCGTATTTTTGATCGCGTTCGCGGTATAATATTTGCAGTTATTTAGAAGACTAGACGTTGTTTCCCATGGATTCAAATCAGCATCAGTATCATCATGATCACCTATTTGATTTGATAGGTGGTCGCGATTAAAGGGGTTAAACCTAATAGTGTTACTGAAATTTATCATGTGAAGCTGTCTAATGGAGACATCGTATGCTGGGAAAATTTTTCCCAAGCAATCTTTGCAGCCTGTTGAGCCAGCAGAACATCTTGTGTGGGATAGGTTGTCACAGTAGCAACATTTGGTCATTTGTCTTATATTCCCAATTTTTGTGCAAGTGTGACATTTTTCTCGTTTATTGGAGACTTGGATTTGTATAGGCCGTGATGGTG